GTGCTAAACCAGTGTGAACAAGTGTGCCTCCAGAGCCATAGATAGCTTCACATTTCCTTTCTCATGGTCTTCAGCTTCCCATCTGAAGGCCACAACTACTGTAAATGAGATGAGGTATCCTTCCATGTTAGTGGAAGAAACACAGGAACAAGGAAGAAAAAGCCTAACCCAGTTTTACAAACATTCTGGCTGCACCGGGATGTGGAGGCGACCACAATTTGTGAGTTAGCTCCACCTATGTTTGCCTTATCGTCCCATCTGCTGAAGCCATTAGCATACCCCCCTACACTGTGAAGGCACCATAAAGTTGTTCATCTGTGTGCTGAGGCAATGACTAGACCCACTGAGGTACAAAATACCTACAGATCTGTTCTCCTGTTTTGTCTGCTATAGGTTGTTTTCTTTGGAATTATGCAAATACATGCATACATGCTACAAGCTTGCCCTTGAAGAGAACACCTTCCCTATGATGGAATGTCTTTACCTAATGAGTTATTTTACAAAAACTGGCGAAGGAGTTGAGTCTACCATAATGCCCCCTTGAGCCTGGGAGGGACTTACAAATGCCTATGAAGGAACGTGGGGGCCGCCTCTTCTCCGAGACCGTTCATGGAAACAATAGCCTCAGTGTTTCCACCAGATAATGGACATGTTAGAACAGACTGGAGGGGTTAGCTCACCTTGTTTGTCTGCCAGCCTCCGAAGAGCACACCTTTCTCTCTTGGCAGCATTGACAGATTTCATCAGCCAAGGCAAGCCTGAATTCACCCCGAGTGCTATGAACAGAAATGTAATTACTTCTGTCACTCAGTTAAGTGGTGAATAGTTTGCACTCTGGGTTGCAACTGAGAGTTAATTCAAATCCATCATACTCACAGGCTCAACTTCTTTTGCTTCAGAGGACATGATTAAATTTAAAAAAAAAATTGGAGCCAAATACACACATACATACACACACACACAATGTACACATTTTCCCCCTCATGAAAATGTGTCTGTCTGAAAAGTCAACGAGAATGTGGATCTATCCATTATCCGGTGGTAGTGATATAGTGCTGTTAACTTTTTCCAAGAGCTAAATGAAAATTATGGGGCCAGGGACCGCCCCTGCAGAACTCTTTTCATTTTGAGATGATTTGGAGAGAAGTGGGACCTGAACCAATTATTAATCTCAGAGTTAAAGGAGAAAATCTAAGTTTCTTTTAGTAATATACAATATCTGAGAAAAGAATGATTAACAATTTAAGAAAAATGGTGTTCCATAAAGAACCCAACTCAGAGGCAGGAAAAAATTAGAAAAGACCAGATTAGAAATGACAAGGGGGCAGCAAGTGGCTATAAAGAGAAGTCTTCCTGGTAGTCCTATATAAGTCTACTTAAAAGTAACCCCCATTTAATTCCATGAGGATTACTTCCAATTTGATCGGTATAAGATTGTAGTCTTAATGATCCATGACTAAGACCTTCCATACAGACCTGTCTTCTAGTATAGAACATATTCTAAGATTCTTCTCCAAGATGACATATGCTTTGTGCAACTCTGTGCTATCCAAGGCTTTATCTGATACTATCATCATTGTCTGGAGTTATCTGGCAAGCTCTGGTATCAAGTACATTGGGAATGCTGGGTATTAGTTACCTTCTGTCTCACTATAGCTGTAGTTCAGAATGGTTTGCGTGCAAGAAGCTCCCGTGTTGCTCTGACACTTCCAGGTAGAGCTGGAAAAGGTTTCTGCCCCAGAAGTATTCTTAAGAATTCAGAGTCAACAGCAGTGAAGTAGAAGGACCAATAGTTTGACTTGACATCAAGCATTTTTCTAGGTTTTCTAGGTTTGTATACATTTCAGGATTCTGTGGTTTTATTATGTTCTGTAGTATAGTCACTTATTAATGAAAAGCAGCTTGTGAGCTGGGAAGGCATAGGCCATCCCAGGCAGAACTGTTAGCAAAAACACACATAGAATTGGACTCTAAACCTTCTGAAATTCATTTTTAAACTAAAGAGTTTAGTTTAAACCAGGAATTGGTGCTTAATGCCTCCTTGATTTTTATTGTTATCAGGACAAACAGAGTCTTTGTTTTCCCCAAGGTTTGGGGCCCAGCTTAGTGGTAGTACATAAGAACAGAAGCAGTGCTCTGCCGAATCAGACCTCTGGCCCATCTAGTCCTGCAGTCTGTTCTCATAGTGGCCAACCAACTGTCCGAGGAAGCCCACAGGTCTCCCAGAAGATGCCTTCCGAGGCAGTCCCACTGCCTTCAAGGCTAATAGCCTTGGTTCCCAGAACTTCCATGAATTGCTCCAGCCCCTTTTTGAAGCCAGCTCAGCTGGCAGCCAGCACCACCAATCATCATAATAGTAATATGCAAGAGGACTTCTGTTCCAGGGAAGCTTGGATGTCAAGAGAGAAAGAGAAAAGATTCCATTGACTCCTTTATTTATATATTTTATTTTTTAATTAAAAAATAAAGGTTATCTTGATACAGTTCTTTGCAGCATCTGGGCAAAAGAAAGACTGGGCAAGACTGTAGGAAACAAGATGGTTATCTAAACTTTGGCACACAGGACTGGAAAATAGAATGCAATCCCACTCCTGCAAAGTTGTCTTCCCAGGTTCCTGACTTGTTTTCCTGCGGATGCCAAGGACGGTTCAGTGCTCATCAACTGAAGTGCGTTACAAAGCTTGAGAAAGGGCTCCGAGGTGGGAAACAGCAGCAATAATGAATAGAACCTCCCAAAGCTGATGGAAAGAGATGGGCACCAAAACTCTCCCTGAGCTGATCTGGAGTTTAGGACTTGAGCTAACCTACACTTTTTGGGTTTGAATGTTGGCTCCAGGGACATCCGCCGAGGGGTCAAGAACATCAAGATGGCAGCCCCAATGACATGATCAAAGCCCTGCCTCTTCCTTGTGTGTGTCAGATGTGCAACACATGTAAAATAGGGGCAGGGTTTCAATCAGATAATCATAGGTGCCATCTTGACTTTTCAGACGCCCCCCAAGACACCCCTGCCTGGTTCACAAGAACTGGATTGCCTCACTTGTATTGCTAGCATAACTGTTTGCTGGAGCTCATGATGGAGGAGGGTATAGCTAATGGGATAAGGGATGACATTTTCTAACATATGAGCAATGACCGCTTCATTCTCATGCAAAGAAAGTTTACAGAGGCTTGTGGCTTAGGGTTGTTTCCAGTAAGAAGTGCACAGACAAACGTCAGATCCAATGAACTGACCCGATATTTGTTTCAACCATTTGCACATAGATAAGAATTCAGTTACTCCCAAGCTTCTGCCCTCCCCAAACAACTTTAATATAATTCTTGGCACAAAGGCATCAAAAATATTTTAAGCCCTTACTTTGAGAGAACAAACACTTAAAAATACAAATTGTGTGTAAGAGAAAATAATATCTTGAACACAAGCTTCCAAATACCATTTTGATGCACACTTCGATGCATTATTTAAAATTGCAATTTCATTCAAAAACGGAAGAAACTTACAAAGGAAAAAGGAGATGGCAACAGGGGCTGCAGAAAAATCCTAGTTGCTCATCCTTAATATAAACTGGCCAGAGGTGAAAATATAAAGGGTAAACTGGCTTTTGATTAGGGTAGCTTAAATTCTTAACAGCTTATTGCACAGATACCCTTGAGGAACTACGGTACATTGCTGCTTTGTTTGGAGCCCAACTTGCTCTCCTATTAACTTCCACATAATTTCCAGGGTAATATTACAGATGATTGAAGGGTAGACTTGCTACAGAGGCCCAACAACCTTCTGCCTACTGAAAGAAGCCATTAAATTGCACATGCTGGCATTCGCCTGTACGCATTGGCTCAACGATTCACAAGGAGAAATCTGTGCAGCCTGGCAGCGATGGCTTCCAGTTGTGGGAGACTCTAGTGCAAGATCTTTTCAGGGCATACTTATGCCCAAGTGGATCCCTTCCCAGTCTCCAATACCCACACACTAGCCCTCTTCTACCGAGTCAAATCTGGGCCACAGTCTAGATAGAAAGTACAAGGGGATGGGAGAATGCTATTTTGTCACCTCCCTCTTGTCACTGCTGTTCTGCTCAGAAAAGCAAATTGAGTAGGTAGTAAAGTTGGGTCATCAGTGCCCATTCAGATTTGCCATCCCCAGAGAACTGAGGGCCTTGACATGCCCCTCAAAGTTCCAACCTCTGATGCTGATTTCTGTCAAAACATATCTTTCCATACAGTTCTGTATGGAACAATATACAGTAATGGTACTAACGATACGATGGGGACAAAGGGGAGCCAGGTTGGAGCTATGCATATCAGCCAGAGTTCTGGATTGCAACTTCAGCCTACTGTGTGTCTAAAAGCAGCCCCGATCCTTGCTGATCAAATCAATATATTTGCTACTGGGGCAGCGCTTCCCCATACAGTTGCTTCTGCTCCCTTTCCTGGTGGCTTAAATTATCTTTTGGGAAATTAGCTCACCAATCCCAAAAGCATCACTAGTATTTCTCTTGACTGCCACCAAGATAACTCTCTGGTCAGTGTAATGGTAGACCACCAACAACCCCATATTTTGAACAACCCATGAAAAATGCTTTGTGTTGGCACTTTTACAAAATACAACTGTGGGAATCCTATTCCCCCTGTCTTTGGTAGTTGCTGCTTAGGATCCATTTTAAAGCATTCTGAATAATAATAATAATAACAACAACAATTATGGCAAGATAAACAGTATCTTCAGCATGCTGAAGTCCCTAAAAAGCTTCTTCTCACAGAATCATGAGGAGTTGAGTTGCTTGTGTGTTTTGGAAACTCCAATCTCTAAGCATGCAGGTTTTTTTGGAGAAGAGCTGGGGCTCCAGGATATCTGTGGGGAAGGTGTACACATGACACTGGGAGGAAAGAAATCATCCTTGTTTACACTGAGTCTCCTCATCCCACCTTCACCTACCACACCGGTTGATTTCTTAAGGCACAAAGTGCAGGGAAATCCAGTTTATGCATTGTCCACTGGAGCTAAGGTAGCTTTTAACTTGAGATTGTCAGCCCTGGACATGCCTCTGCTATGTGTTTAGGAGATCCATCGGTTTCTGAAGAGGGACCTAACTGCTCCTTGGTCAACCCGCAGTCTTCTGCTGCTTGGCTTTCCTCCAAAACCTCTGGCTGAGTTTGGCTGTTCAGCTTTTCTTCTGCTTCAATTTCCTCTGAGGTGGGAATGGAATTTTTCTTTGGGCGGCCTTTGGGCTTTGTGGGCGCTTCCTGTCCTCCTTTCAGAACCTGGAATAAAAATAAATAAAGCTGCTATTGCTGAGATTCTAAGTCCAAGTTACAGCCAGGGGAATGGACTGATTTTGGCTTCTCTGTGTTTCTCCATTTCCCCATCTTAAATTTATTTTTCTCTATGCTCTACACTGGTTGGCATTAAGAAACCCCCCTCATTATTAGCATTTTTGTGCATTTTTGCGTAATATACACATTTGGCAAGCTGTTTCTCCTAATTTATTATATGTTCAACTGTTATTTTCTCTGATACATACTTCTCATGCACGAAAATACATATTTTATAGTTATTTTTGGGCAGGAGAAACTCATGGCAAAATTCAGAGAAGAGTTTTGATACGTGCACTGTTTGATGAAGGGTGAATCAGATTTGCAATTAAATGCAAATAGAAAATATTCTTCCCATGCCATGAACACCACTCACTGGTGCTCCAGGCAACCAGCTGTTTTCCATGATGTTCCATCCCATCCTATTATGTATTCATTTTATTATTGTGTGAATTCTGGAGACTAGAAACAAAATCACACCAGTGCACAAGGCAGAACTTCATATGTAAGCCAGCATGGACTAACTGTGGTACTTATACTGTGAACAAAGTAAAGTTTTTTAATTGTAAGCCACTCAGAGTCACCCTCTGGGGGAGATGGGCGGCATATAAATTTAATAATAAATAATAAAAATAAATAAAAAGTAAAGACTTCTTTGTCAGAGGCTAAACATCAAGATAAAAACTGTAACAAGAGTCCTTGTCAAAACTAAAAACTGATGAACCAATACACACAAATATTTGCAGCACTCAGGGATGTCTGCAAATTATGGTTAATAAAATTAAGACGGTGCATTCAAAACTCACCTAATTTTGTATGTGTTTTACTAACAGAGCTTTGATCACACCCTTGTGGCCACCAACTTGATTTTTTGACCATACCCTGTAAGGAACCCTGATATCACATATACTTTGTGGGGTGGATCAGACTTAATTATGCTTGGTACAGACTCCCTGAAATCAACTGATATGTTACTCAGGGTCAGCTTCATTCCTAGCAATGTCACTCAACTGATTCTAACAACTATTTCTCTCTCTGAGTCCAGTAAATGCTTACCATTTTTTTCCATTTCATCCTGCGATTTTGATACCAAGTTTTCACTTGAAGTTGAGTTAGGCCCAATGACTGGGCAAGATCCAGCCTAGAAGAGAAACTATCCAGATTAATGAACTAGAAGAAAAACAAGACATTATCACCCATTACCAAGACCTGATTACACTGCATCTTACTGAAAGTGAGCAAATGGTTCATAGTGGATTGGGTGGATTGGGGGACCAATGGCTTAACTGGTCATGACTAATGGCCAGAGAAGACCAATGACTAATGATCAGACAAGAGCAATGACCACAGTATTGTCTAAAGAAACTTTTAGAAAGAAGATGGGCTTCCTGAGTTCCACTGAACTCAGTTGGGAGTTAGTCTCAGAAAGCAAGCAAAGGCCTGTGCTGTTAATTTGCTTTTTAAAAGCAAACTTTTTAATTTGCTTAGGACTGTGTTCATTAAACAGTCCTAAGTGTTGGATTTACTTCTCAGCAGGGATATACTGCACCATTTCTGTAAGTTCTGCTATGAAGTTTCACAATGTCAGTTGTGTCAGAATTAAAATTTTGGTTATATTAATGATAACCCTGTAAGAAAGGAATCTGCAGCTTCCTGTAGTTCAAACGGTGCACTAGATGTTATATGGCATGCTGAGAATCACATTCCAGAACTGGATGAGGCCAGGGCCGTGTTGGGGAGGGGTTCCAGGAGTTTGAAATGGCATCTCAAGCAACTGAAAGGTATACAGCACCTCTTTAGCCCCTTAATTACTCTCAACCTCCAAAGCTGTCAAAGAGGGCCCCACTTTTTGGCCCCAGCTGTTCTAGTGGACTCTGAGGGCCCTAAAAAAGGGAGCTAGTGGGCAATCCATGGTCCTTGAGCATTATTTTTTTGACTCTTCACTTCAAGAAGACATAATTATGGCTGGAGAGCTTGCCATTTTAAACATGTTTTTCTCCATTATAAAACCTTTAAGACAAAAACAGGAAAAATATTTTGTTTGCTGGGCAAACTCCAGTATTGCATGATCCATTTAAAGGGGAAAAAAAACCTAGCCAGAGCCCACCAAGTTAAGTGTAAAATGGTATGCAAAGCAAGTTCTCCATTGTATATCCACAAGCCAGATGAGCTGACTACGCAGGAAAAATCTGCATCTCAGTTGTGACAAATTGAGGATTAAAAAGTTCAACCTATTTAGTGGGGAAAGAAGCAGAGATTTGGCTAAGGGCAACCCATTAATCCTTTTTTTTTTAGAGGTAAGAAGCCAATGTAGCTGAGAAATACAAAAGCAAGAATAGCTATGGCAGAAGATTTTTATTTATTTTATTTTATTTTATTTTATTTATTTAAGTAAAACTATTGGAGTTGGAAACTCTGGGTGATCTACTGATATTTATAAAGATCTGCAAGAAGATCCTGTTCTACTTTCTGCCTTTCCATGCTTTGGACTGCTTTTAAGCACAACATGGTCTTCTCTAACACAAAAAGATAACAGAGGGTTTTCCCCTAACATCAGTTCTGTGTTTACCTAATCAGCCTTCAGAGCCAGAATGTCAGAGCAAAGTGCGTGAAACTCACTGAACAAAGACACCTGAATGAAACCTGCCCATGACTTATGCCTTTTCCATGATTAATATCACTGAACTGGAACACAAATAGTGCGAAGGCAACATAAACAAACATGATGCATATTTTCTTGTTTCACACACCAGCAGTTGCATAATAAATGAATTAGTCAAAAATTTCCCAACTAATTTTCTCTTAAGATGGGCTTCCCAGTGTAAACAATACATTCCCTTGGTTGCAGTAGGAAGAGTTATGGAGGCATTTGTACTTGGTTCAAAAACAAATGACTACTTATATAGGCTGAGTTCATACAACTTAGCTTACTGGGTTAACAAAACACAGTGTGGTGTTCACATAGCATGCTATGTCCAAACAAAGGCATCATATTATAGCTTAATGTGATGATCTCCTTCATATAACATGCTCAGACAATGATGGGCTCCCATACCTTGATTAAGCAGAAACTACCTAAACACATTTGGTCTAACCTAACATATTGTATGAACCCGACTGAAAAGTCTTGTGAGAGATAGGATCATGGGAAGTCACCTACACTGAATTAGAACATGGATCCACTTTGGCCAAGAAACCTGGAACCTTTTAGTTCTTTGGGGCTTTATTAACCTAAGCCATTACAATCAATAGCAAGAGATTGTGGTACTGTAGTCCAAAACTTTCAGAGTGCACCTACAAACCATATTTATTTTGTTTTTCAGCTATCAAAGGCTGCAGGGGACATGGAGGAGAAACAGTGGTGTCAACTATCAAAGGCTTACTGCCTTTATTTTTAACCTTTCCACAAAGCAGAACAATCCTAGTGCTGTCACTGAGTGGCGTGATTTTATGGGTCTCCTAGGGCTGACCACAATCAATAATTTTCTCCTTATCCATGAATGTTTATGCAACCCTTGCTTAAAGTCACCTAGGCCAGCAACCATAAGCATGCATCTTAGGGCAATGAGATCGATCAAGTTGATATCTTCTGAATCTCCCACCCATAACCATTGCCCAGAAAATATTCTGAGAAATTGGATGCCACAATGCACTATCCAGCTGGGCCATTCTACAGTGGCAAGGAGAGGCCTACTGAGAAAATACATGCGTTCCTTCCTGTTTAAATTAGGAAAAAAAAATGGTTCCCAAGGTATCACATACTGGGGGCAAACCCATTGGCCAAAGGGAAATGCGCCAGATCAATCTTCTCATGCCAGCCAACACGCACCTGTCATGGCTAGATTACCGGTAACCCTTTCAGATTGTTTGCTGGCCTGTGGACAACTGCTCACACTGCCTAGGAAACTGAAGCAACAAACACAAAAAGAGGAGCAAAAAGCCACAGAATGGCAAGTTCCTGAAAGCCTATTAAGGGTTTGCTTTTATTTTAATGGAACTATGTTGATGAAGATTCTCAGTCATCCAGGTGGAATTATCTAGAGGTTGAGTCATGGCAAGTGGACTTCTTTTCTTTTGGTGAGAGACGTTGTCCAAGCAGCGAAATGTCTCTTACCAAAAGAAAAGAAGTCCAGTTGCCATGACTCAACCTCCAGATATTTTAATGGAACTTTTGGTCTGTGTTTGCTTATTTCTGAAGGTTTTTTGGTAAGCTGCCTAGAGTCTCAGGGGTCCAGCTGGGCAGCCATATATATGCCTTAAGTAAATAATAAATAAACTGGAGCCTTTGTCTGTGGGAGCTGTTATGTTAGCTAGAGTTCTTTTTTTCTGCCACTTTTGTAGGGAATAAATGGATTTTGTGAAGAATTGGGGATGGATGGCTGGATAAGGTCACCTTTTCTGGGTTGGGGTTGGCCAATGGTCTCCTCCCTTCCCCTTAAAAAATCCTGCACTCATAGTAGGTAAAGACTCATCACTTCTATCTTCTTTCTTCTTAACATGGTTATTAGATCATGCAACGTTGCATGGTCACCTAATCTCATACGGTCAAATTATCTGTGTAAGAAGATGAAATGGTCCCCCCCCCCATCACTATGGGCACTATGTTTTTTTAAGGAACAAAAGAAAAAAAAATATCACGTTCATCTGGTGTCCTTCCTTTTCTCCCAAATTCCAATTTGCCTTCCTTTGCATTCACTCCACTTCACTGAGTAGGGGCAAATTCACAATGGAGCAATTGTTGGCACAAACCTGAACCCTCATTATCAGTGAACTTGTTCTTTGCCTTCTCAACACTCAGTGCTAAGAGCCCTCCAGAAATAGTGTCAACACTTAAATAAAGGAACCAAATATTTGTGAAGTTCCAGCTTTATTAATAACTTAGGGCCAGCTATGCAAAAAAGTTCTGTAGAGAAGCATGTTTCACAGGTTCTTCCATGATCTTCAGTGGGTGTGCCACAGCAATATCTGTGACAATCTAAAATATAGCAACCTTTGTAACAGATCTTGGTCTATGACAGATCTTGAAGCTGAGGTTTCAGAAATACTTGAAACACAGATGAAGAATGTATGGCCCTCCACATGTTGATGAACTACAACTTCAGATGGTGTGGCTGATAGGATCTTGGGAATTACAGGATCTTGGGAGTTACAGTTCAGCAGGATCTGGAAAGAACATGCTTCTTCACCTCTAATGTTTAAGGCCAGGCAAAGATTCAGAGATAGTTAGGACATTAGGTCAAACTATGGCTTTACCATTACGCGCACAAGCTGGGGGAGTGTGTTTTCCTTCTCTGATACAGTTGATTCTTCCTTAAAACTAATCAAAATTATGCTCCATTCAGAGGGCTCCCCTCCACCAGTGCCACAAAGGCAATGGATTAAACCCTTCCTGCTCTGAATATCAAGACCCAGAACCCAATCCAGAATGAAACTCCCACACCTTTCATTTAATGTTTTAAATCCATTCATACCATCGTTAATTCGGTAATAGTTGTCATGCCAGTGAAAACCAATAGCTGGTTTCCTTCTCTACCAACTCATATTCACTCTCCACTGACTGCCTATTCGCTCTCAGCTAGTGGAAATAATTTGATTCTCCCTTTCAAAGGAAACAAGCTTCTAAGTATCACTGCCCATAAATCCATGCTGGCAAGCATGCATGTATCAAGCACACTCACAGCCTGGTATGTATTTTCCACTGATATGATCTATTCATGTAGCCTTTGATTCTAAGGGAAGGGTGCTTTGAAATCTGATCTGATTATGTGTCCAAGCCCTCAGACAAGAGCAGAGTCATCTTCACATGCTTAGAAGCCATCATGGTCCACTCAGCACCTGAACAGCTGAGAGGAGCAGGGCTAGGGACCTGCTCTGTTGTGGCTGGAAAGACAGCCCTCTCTTCAATTCTTGCTCAGAGAAACAGACTAAAACCTGCAGGGGATTTCCTTTCTGAAATGATGATATGATGAAGCTAAAATGTTGGCTGGTCTTAGAAGATTAAAACTGGGTATTTTGCATTTTAAAGCATCTGCCTGGTTAGTCTTTTCTCCACTCCATGGCATGGTAAAGTCACTTGCTCTGTCCTTCAAGTGTAAATCAGTGTTCCTATTGGTATATGATGTTCTGCTTAAATTAATCTAAATTAAACTGGAACTTCTGAACATCTTATTTTCAAAGGGCAAATATAGACGATACTTTCCCCCCTTTAAACTGTTAAAATTATAAAAGCCCCAAAGACACTCTTCTTTCTATGTTATTTGTTTACTGCTGTTTGTCCACATGTCACGTATAGTAAGTGGCCCTACTCATTAGGCAGTGTGAGGCAATAATCAAAGATAACAGAAATTGGACACTAATCAGCCCCCTACCCAACCTTTTGCCTTCGAGAACAGAGCTATGTATGCAACAGGAATATGGAAGATATAATAAGGATATAATAATATAATAAGGATCCTAATCAGTTCCTAGGAGTACTTAAGATATTGTGGGCCACTGTTCCAAACAGCCCCATGATTTGCGGATTATACAAGTCCCCAAGAATGTCGGAGATAATTCTCATGTTGCAAACTCCAGCTCTTCCAGGTTATGTGGGACTTTGCACGGTAACTTACTCAAAATCTTCAGTCAAGGACTGACAACAGGGAATCCTACTTCTAGAGAGAAATGGTACAAATCCCTAAGAATGTTCTCTCCTGTGTCCCCCCATTTTGTTTTCCTCCAATTTCCTTAGATTTTGTAGAGGCATTAAGGGATATTTCATTTCTACAATCACAATCTAGTCCTCACCCATCCATTATTTTGAATGATTTAACATAGAGTAGTAATCAATGTTCTATGTTATAATGACAACTTGCCACATCTTGGCTCATGCAGGATTTCTGTTGCCTTCTTAATAGCCACTGAGTCTCACTTCATAAACAGAAACTGATATGGCCTCTTCTAATATTGGTGTCCAATGTAACCATACCTGCTCATACCTCAAGGTTTGACTCAGCCTTGAGTTCAACCCACTTTCAAAGATCCTCCAAAGCTGGAGTATTCAGAAGACAATTTTACCATGCCAATATTGCAGAAGTGACTGGTGCTGAATTCATAACATGGAATTTGACACAGGCATATCATTCTCAATAACATCTTGCTATTAGAACCATTTTAGCGCAGAGATCAATGGTCTCCAGATGCTTTAGACTCTACGTCCCATGGTCCCTTGCCATTGCTCAGGCTGGCTGAGGCTGATAGAAGTCCAAGACATTCTAAAAGCACCAGTTGCCCATCAAAGCATCAGTGGCTTCCCTAACCACCAACCAGTTGGGTTGCCCCCCTCCCCATCTCTCCTCACCAACCTGTCTGGTGTGGATAGGTATTTCTGCTTTTGGAATTTCTTCTCTAGTCCCATAAGCTGCAACTCTGTGAAGATGGTCCGGCTGCGGCGAGGCTTTTTCAAGGGGAGGGTGGGCTGCTCTGTCTCGGATTCACTGCTTCCATGAGTTTCGTTGGCTTGGGTCTCTGAACAGGTGCTTCCCGAAGGTGGGAGCGGTGAGAGAACTCGAGAGGTGCTCACTGTGGGAATGAAGGGCTGTCTGGTGATGACAGAAATGAGTGGATAAGCCCGAAGAGAAGAGGACCCTGGGAAATAAGCATCAGAAGGAGAGGTGTTACAAAGAGAGGATGGCTTGGCAGATTGTTTCATCTTCAAGGTTCCAGCTCTGCTTTGGTGGAGATGTGATTAATTGTAAGCACATAGGTTGGAACCACCAAAGACAGGGAAGAGGAAATCCGGCCCTTCTTTTTAGTGCCTTCATTTGCCTCCTTTTGTTTTAAAAACCATGTTCCAAAGGCAGCAGCAAGACTTAAGTCAGGGGTTCCCAATCTGGGGTGCCTATACCCCCGGGGGTGCAAGATGGAATTTCAGAGGGTGCGACAATTTTAGGCACTGAGTTAAAAGCTTTTTTCTTTTTTTAAGTTCAATTTCTTCACCCGCATTAGAAATGAGACTTCTTCATCTTCAAATGTGATATTACTTTTATACGGGGTGCGAACATTAATCAAACATTTCCTAGGGGGTATGGGGCATAGAAAAGGTTGGGGACTGCTGCTTTAAATAATTACCTACTGGCACCAATAGAGTGGGGGGTTTTTTGGAAAGAGAGGGTTTTATTAGAAAAATAAAGGTGATTAAGGTATTAGAATTCCCCCTCCCTGTCCGGTGCCCTTGGTCCTGAACAGGGCCCCATGTGTTTCCAGTTAAGTACATAAAATCATAAACTGGAACAGGATGACATGCAGTTTGCATATGATCTAGTTAAGACCTATGCAGCTGTTCTACCCTCCGACATGCCACTTGCTCTGATTTTCATCCTTCAGCTCCCTGGGAATTAGCGCTGTAAGGTCCAAGGGGCAGAGCATCAATGCCTGGCTGGCAGTCACCTTCTTACCAGCTGGAAAGAAGCATTTATGGGCTTCAAGAAATTCATCTGTAGCACTGAAGTTAGAGGAGTTTCGTTTGAGAGATTATAAACCCCATTTCATTTCCTTCATTTTTTTAAGGAAACTTACAATTTATTGGATAGCATAACCAGCTTCAAAAATCAACATACTAGAGGCTATGATGAAATAAACACAATATACCCGACAGTGCCAGAGAAAAAGCTACAATTGTTCAGAGGAGTGTAAGTGTGCATGCATCCATGAGAAGTTTGGATAGATCAGTTTATTCCTTGTCTGGGTCTGTTTGGCATGTGTTCACTGAAAAATTCAGTTCTGTCCCGTTCCTAAAGCGTGATATTATATGGGCATTATTTTTGTTTACACTTGTCACATTTTATTCATTTGTTACTCGAAACACCTCTATATTTTGGAGTGCACTTTATTCTGGAATATATACTTTTACTGAATGTTGGTACATTTTCTGAACAAAAGGAGAGTGAAAACCCATGACAGATGGGTTTCGGCCCAGATACTTAGAACCATGAGTGTGAACCAAGTAAGTCACTGTGTTTAAAAATGCAGACCAAATAAATTCACACGTGTGTGTTTGTGCATCTGAGTGCTGACACACTTTCCTTGTTATGCTTTATGCGAGCACAAATGCTTAGAAATAAGTAAAACTTTGCTATTTTTAGTGCTATTAAAGGAGAAAGCATTATAGCAAAATCATTTTTCTGCAAACAACATCACAGAGACAGCATAAGTTTACTTAAAAACTTCTTTGCCTATCATGATTTCTCCGTATTTTTCAAGCAAGGCACCAAAGAAGCCACAAAAGCCATTAAGAAGTAATAAATCAACGACACTCAGAAACCACTCACTCTCTCTCTCACACACACACACACACACACACAAACACACACGAAGTCTGGGAGATTGAAACCATTACAGGGAAACATTTTTACAAATGTCTCTTCTCAGCATATTAAATCCATTGGGCTAATGATTCTTGTCCTATTTGGGTGGGATTCCAGGAAGAGAATGGCATGAATGATTGCTGTTTGGGAGAGTCAGCACAGCTTAAAAAATGGGCAGGTGGTGGTGGAATCATCATCATCAGCTCACTGGGAAATGCAAAATAAGAAATAGCATGGACATATTTAACACCCGACATAGGTAAAAAGCTGTGCTGGATCAAAAAATAATCTGTATTTTTTCTAACTTTTGTCCTTCAATTTCATGAAACAGGAAGTGCTTCTGCATTTTTTTTTTTTTGGGCCTCCCAAAGAGAAGAACATTTTGCTGACGTTCCCATACTTGGGGTGCAAGGTTGCCCAAATCAACTGGCTGCCAGTTGCCATGTTGGAACTCAGCTCTGAACCATCTGTCTCCCTGCCCCAGTCTCTCCCAACGTCATGGTTTTATCAATCTGTTTCGGGTACCACCTTGGAGATATTTTCTCCCATGGCTTCAAGGATTATGGTTTTATGATTGCATTCTTCTTCTTTGGTTGTAAATCTGGATAGCTCAGCTGGTAGAAAGGAGGAATTTGCTGAGTCTCATCCTTTAGGGTGGGGAGTGTGACTGAAACCGCAGGAGGGCAGTGGAGGGTGGAGAAGAAACTACTGCAGATGCTGGCAACTTAACTATGGCAGCGAGAAGAAGATGGCATAATGTGCTGTCAGTGGCATGATGAGTGATGAGGTCATTGGCAGAGCAGTACATAGGGCATATCCTTGCCCTGCCATGGCCCTGGAGCACAGCATCGGTAGCCATGTGTGACAGGATTCTTCTTCAGCTACATTTCTTCTTATTTAGGAGAAGTTCACACTCTATTCAGTGCAGCTACTTCTGCTTGGATTGCATTGTTAAGGACTTTTCTATTCATTGGTTTGGTTCTAGCCTGAAAGCCAGCATGTTTAGTGGAAAACCAGGGGTCGGCAGTCGAACGCATGTTCTGCACGCAGCACTCAGAATCTCCAGGGAAACCTCCAGACTGAAAATCTGGAAAGCTGTTGCCAACACTGAGTTCGAAGGACCCACATTCCTAAGCAATATAAAGTCATTTCCCTTTAGTGGGTTTTTAAACTCAAACAGAAAAATGGAAAAACTTTATGGCTAAAAGCTGCCTTTCAAGTTAAAAGGAAAACAGTTTTTTAAAGCTAAACAATTAACCAAGCTGGGCAGATAAGATGTTGCCCATAAACTCAAATGACCCAGGCTCTATTCTGAGTTCTGACTCATGGTATGACCTTTAACAAGTCACTTTCCTTCCCCGTCTCCATTTCATTCACTGGCATCCCAAATCTCAAAATACTGACTTGCAAGTAAATCCCATTGATTGGAAAGGCATTGTTTTCATCGATGTGCTTCATCTACACTGTTCTCAGCAATCCCATCAATCATTCTATAAAGCAGGCCAATGCTGTCTTCCTATCAGGGGAGCTTTTAGCTGTCTCTTTCAACGGAAGGAAGGAAGGAAGGAAGGAAGGAAGGAAGGAAGGAAGGAAGGAAGGAAGGAAAAACTTCTAGAGGCAGATGGGGACAGTGCATTCCAGTCTTACTCCTTCCATTCAGATCTCCCTAGGTCAGTGTTTCTCAGCCTTGGCAGTTTTAAGATGTGTGGACTTCAACTCCCAGAATTCCCCAACCAGGGCCCTGGTTTGGGGATTCTTGGGGGGTTAATCCACCCCCCCTTAAACACCCCCA